CTTGTACTTCCTCAAGAAACCAGCATTCAAAAGAACAGGGATGATGCCACTTTGGGACGGGGTTGGGACGAGATTCTGTGCGATGTCGTGTGAACACACGTAAAAAAAAACGCAATAGGATGGGACTGGGTGTGGATTCTGTCTGCTTTAGACCCCGTGTGATAACGTCCACAGTCTAGTCATTCTCTCTCAGACTGACTGATCTCACAGGTTTGTTGCAAGGCTAAAGTGGAAAGAAGATCAGGCTTGCACATTTTCTTATGTTTGATTTTAAAAAATGTAACTAATATATAAAGAAATCACAAAAACTTAAAAGAGAGCAGTCTCTTGTTGTGGATATCAAAGTTTGAGAATTTTGCATGGTGCAATTTGACTAGAACTCTGGGAGACCAGGTGACCTTAGCAAGTCACACTATCTCAACCTAAGAGGAAGACAATGAATGAGAAACCTCCTCTGAACAAATCTTGTCAAGAAAACCCTATGACAGGTTCACCTTGGGGTCTCTGTAAATCAGAAAGGAATTAAAAGCACACAACAAAAATCCCAGAAGTTTGAAGTTTTTCTAAACCTACTCCATAGTTCATGTGATAGAATTTTAGGCAGTTCAAAAAAAAAAACCACTGTACCCCTACTGACCTCAACATACCAAACAAAAACAAGTATGCAATAATGTGGGTTTAAAATTATAACGCTAGATAAGCAACGCACAAGGCTCTATGTTGAGAAACAGGAAAAGTTGATATATTATTTGAAACCAACATGAAACATATAGCAAAGCAACTTACAAACAGTTAGTAGGACGTGTCCAGCAGAAAAATCTAATTGTGAAGCTGTCCTGGGGAGTAGTTTGCACTCCATTGACAAGGGCTTTTGCAGACTGCCAGAAATAATGCAAATTGAATCCACTTTAAGGATTAGGGTTAGGGAATCATGGGAACTGTATTTTATTGTGGCACCAGAGCTCTCTGACAGAGAAGGATCAATGTCTCAGGAAAAAAAATGCCATGATTCCCTAGCACTAACCCTAACCCTTAAAGTGGACTCAATTTGCACTATTTCCGGCAGTCTGCAAAGGCCCTTACTTAGCAGGGCAGGGAGAACAGAGGAGGGTCAGCATCTTGCCCTTCCTGTTGGTGTTTGTTGTTCTTGTTGAACATGCCTTCACATCATTTCCAAATTATCGTGACCCTAAATCGAATGTATGGCAGGGTTTTCTTGGCAAGATTTGTTCAAGGGTCGGTTCCTCTGAGGCTGAGAGCATGTGTTTTGCCTAAGGTCACCAGTGGGTTTCCATGGCCAAGCAGGGATTCAAACCCAGATCTCCAGAATTATAATCCAATGCTCAAACCATTACACCATGCTGTCTCCTTGCCCTTCCCTGTAGACTCAGGCAAAAACAAGCTGCAGTAGCCTCTCCTAGCTTGTCTGTTCTTCCTCATTTGCCATTATGACCACATTCTGATGTTGCTTGGCCACACATGCCCCAGTTTTCATCTGTGAAATGTTGAAGGGTATGGATTTTTAAGTCAGCTGACTAACTAAAATGTTGCTGAATGCTCAAAGCAACTTTTTGTCTCAGTTTTAAGCACCCATAATTTCCCATGCTCCATAAATGCTGAGGTCTGGTGACAGAATTACCGACGAAAGCATCCGTATCCCCTGCTTTGCTTAGAAGCACTCACTCGCTCTGCATGTGTTGGAGATTTACAGAGGACATAATCCAATGCAAATTCTTAAATCTCATCCTCTGATGTGACTCTTTGATAGAGTCTCTTTCACCCTCCCAGTAGTGCACAGCTGAACTCCCAGCTCACTCCCTCTGCTGAGCTTCAGTTATTTCAGATAATGAACTGGATGTCTGATCTTCTACAGTAGAGTGTTTCTCCTTTTGACAATGTACTGTAGCTCTTGGTATAAAGACAAGTCTGCTCCTATGAGGGGCAAAGATAATGTTAAACGGCCCTCTTCAATTGGCAATCACAGTTGTCCTGGGTTCTAGGAAGAATTATTCTTTAGCCCCACCTAAAGAGTCCTGATGTCTTGGTGGTCTCCATCAAAATGATAGTCTGACACTAGGTTTGCCCAAGTCAAGATCATCCCACACCCTGAGGTTTCCAACTCTTGTTGGGGGTGGAAGAGCTGAAGCCTGAATGCTGTCTAGGATTCATCCTGGAAAGCCAATATGATTCTAGATTACATCAATGTGAATATAGTGTGACACTATATTCTGACTCTAGACTGAAAGAAGTAATAGTGCCACTCTATTCTGCTTTGCTCAGACCTCACCTGGAATCATAGAATCATAGAATCATAGAATTATAGAGTTGGAAGAGACCACAAGGGCCATCCAGTCCAACCCCCTGCCATGCAGGAACTCCCAATTAAAGCATCCCCGACAGATGGCCATCCAGCCTCTGCTTAAATGTGTCCAGTTCAGGATACACAGTTCAAGAAGGATATTGACAAGCTGGAATATGTCCAGGGGAGGGCGACCAAAATGGTGAACGTCTAGAAACAATGTCCTATGAAGAGTGGTTTAAGGAGCTGGGTATGTTTAGCCTGGAGAAGAGAAGGTTAAGAGGAGACATGATAGCCATGTTTAAATATTTGAAGGAATGTCATATTGAGGGTAGGGCAAGCTTGTTTTCTGCTGCTCCAGAGACTAGTACATGAAGCAATGGATTCAGGCTACAAGAAAAGAGATTCCACCTAAACATTAGGAAGAACTTCCTGATGGTAAAAAGTGGAATACATTGCCTCAGAAAGTGGTGAAGTCTCCTTCTTTAGAGTTTTTGAAGAGAAGCTGGATGGCCATCTGTCAAGAGTGATTTGATTTTGTATTCCTGTATGGCAGAGATATGGTCCTTCTGGTCTCTTCCAGCTCCATGATTCTGTGACTCATCTGATGCTTTACTGCCACCCTGGGAAACCACACGGAAAATCAAAAATATATATCAAGAGATTAATGTTGGAGGAGATAAACATGTAAGACAATGCCCTTATTCTGTCCCAATCACTTCCACATCCTCATCAAGACAGCAGATTCAGATACAAGGGTTGAAGATACTAGAAACTGTCATCCCTGAAAGGGAAGAAGAGGAAGGGAAATGATTGTAATAGCTACCAGTTGAGACATAACCCAAACACACCCTGTGCAGAAGAGTCACTAACCAGCTCCAGGCTTTTCAAGGCTAAAATAGACACAGCAGGGTCTCTTCCTAATCTGGACAAGTTTCCTTTGATCTCATGCTATTCAAGAGCATCACTTTGTGAACGTCATTTTTGCCCTGGTGAAGGGATATAAAAAAAAATACAGACCGTGTGATCCAACTTTGTTTAACAGTCAACTTTGTTAAGGAAAATGCTTTTCATCCTCCTTGAAGGTGTCCTATGACCTGCAGAAGATCAAAGGGAATTGTCCAGCAAGGATCAAGGGCTGGAAAACATTCCCAACCAAAGTGCGTGAATCACTTTGACAGTCACACCAACAGTTCATGCACTGCCAAGATCCTACATCCCTTCAGCATAGTATAACTATCCTCATTGAGAAATTAGGAGGGGTAGCTAATAACCCAGAGGACAGGATCAAAATTCAAAATGACTTTA